GTCTATCTCACTCCAGTCATGGATATTATCCCAAAGTATAAAAAATTAAAAAATGCTATTTGGACATAGGTAAAATGGAAACTTTCCTTACACACTGTGGGAAAATTATATTGTACATTAGTATATCTTCTATGGAACTCAGTCTGGAAATTCTTCATAAAACCAAAGCAAAACAATCCTATAATTCAGCTGTACCATTTCTGGGTAATATCATAAGGGAATGTGCCACGGACCGGCTCAGGGGAGCCACTCAGACCGTGGGAGAATCAGGGCGAAGGCTCAGAAGAATTCAGGAATCGGCGAGGAAATGACAGACAGATACATTCAATGTGGTTGAATATGCTGCTGCAACTTTACTTCAGTCAGCGTAAGGTTTATATTCTTTTACAATCAAAGAACTTGGTAAAGGCATACATCATCAGATCATAAAATAGAAACAGCATAAAACAGTTTACAAAGAGAATCTTTGAAAATGCTTTGAGTTGGGTACAAGGACTTTTGCTCAGTCTGTACCAGGTAGCTGGCTGGGCTAGGTGACCTTGTGCTCAGAATATCTTGGGTGGGAGAGGGAAAGGCCACTATCTTCCTGGGAAAACTTTCTGCTAGGAAATTTCATGATCTCAAACTTCTCTGAAACTTATCTTACACCATTAATCTCAACTCTCCTCCCTCCCCGACTCTCAGGCTCAGATGTTGTTATCAGCCTAGGTCTTTTCGGGTCATAAGGAAGGCTTCATAGGCCTCCTGTTTGTAACTGCACGTATCTCCCCAGGCAAATGCCTAGTGGGGACTGCTGCAATTGTTTTTCTGCAGAAGATTTCCAAGGTTTCTCCTAGTAAGATTAACTCCTTTTGCTCCACATCATTAAGAAATTATCCTAACGATGACCCCCAATTCCCAGAACTGGCTACTTCTTTAAAGGCTTTAATGAATGGTGGGGCAGAGCTCAAAATGTCCTTAGCAGTCTTGTTTGTATCTGCAACTTCCTGGAATAGTCTGATCTGTTGGCAAGATGCAAGAATCACAAAGAACAGAAAGACAAGGAAAAGACAGATATATCGGCGCCAAGGGCAGCGAGGTCGAGTCAGTGCAAATGGCGACTCAGGTGGCATCATGACCACAGCTGATTGCCAAGGAACAGCCTGGGACACAACTCCGTGGAGCGCTAGCCCCAATCTTACGGCAACAGTTCGTCCAGTCAGCATTTCTGCTACACTGGCGTGACAGCCATGGATGTAGCAGGAATGAAAACAATCTCCAGGAGAGATACATGCAGATGGGTAGGGTGGTGCACACTTTTATTACCAGCATTTGGGAGCCAGAGACAGGAGGCTCTCTATGAGTTCAAGGCCTGCCTGGCTACATAGCAAGCCCCAGGACAGACAGGACTGTTTCTATAGTGAGCCCCTGTCTCGGACAGAGAGGCAGAAGGAGGGAGCTTCAGTATGGGCTGTTGTAGCTCTAGTCACCATAACCTAGAATAGAATCCTCCAACTTCTCTACCAGCGAACGAAAGGAGAGAGAAAAGATGAAGTACGCAAACACAGTGGTGTATTCTCCAGCTGCCCAGAACAAAGCCATGCAATCCACAGGAAAGGGGGGTAAGAAAGTCATTTGGGAGGTTGGACCAAAGCAAAGCACACATCTATATGCACGGAAATGGCACCATGAGACCCACTAATATGTACAACTAATTACATTTTAGAATATAACACATTGGTGACTTAATTAAACTTGATTTGTGAGCAAAGGTAAACACTTGTTGGTCAAGAACAATACAACAGTGAATCTTTAGTACCAGCTCCAGCCCTTTCTAACATTACTAATTAGAATAATACTCTGTGTTCTTTTAGCTACTAGAGTTTGTTATACACTTTACACGAGTGATTTTATTTAATAATTGCAATAATTTCACAGCTGGTAAACCTAAGACTTAGCAAAGAAATGAATGTTACCAAGACCATAAAGCAAGAAATGGGCGGAGGCAGGATTTAAAACAGCTTTAGTCGTTTCCAAGGACTAAGCCTGTAAACCAGAGCCCAGGAGACTTTCCAAGACCTAGGAACAATTTTAAAGGTTAAAATGAGAAAAACAAGTGAATTCGGTGAGGCAGAGGATCGTTCTCTCATGCGGTTGGCAAGATACACGGTCATGTGTTTGGAAAGTAACTGGAAATACGATCTATGTGTATGTTCTCTCCTGCCAATCAGTCCCTCTGGGGAATCTACTGCTACAAAAAATTAAAGACACTGGTAAGTACAAATGTTTGTACATGGAGATTTTTAATAGTAAAAATCTGGATATGAAAGCTCAATATTTTAGGGGGAATAATGTTCAATGGATTCCTACAAGGGATGGTTAGGTGGCGATTAAATGCAGTGAACGTGATCCACATTCATGTTGCTCAGACATCCAAGAAGTACGGCCGAGTAAGCACAATTTTTCCGTCCTATTTGCAGTATAATTAGTATTAAACACGTCCAGAGAGCTCAATAGCAAGGACAGCAAATGGGAACGTGGGTTCCTATGTGGACAACGGTTACTTCCAAACACCCGTACAGATCACCCTCCCGCCCGCGGGAAGGGCCATCTGTTCCTGCCTGTCTGCACAGCTGTTGGTGCCAAGGATAAACAGCAGCCACCGTTTACTTGGTTAGCTTGGGGGGAATGAGAGAGCAAGGGTAAGAGAATATCCTTCACCTGTTCTTAAAAACAGATTTAGACTGTTTGATAGGATTTCATGACCTAGACATATAGTTTAGGGTTTGTTTGTTTGCTTGTTTTTAAGTGGTATAATGGTGACTAATTGCCTTTTCATTCCTCTCCTTAGTACAATGATTGTTGCCGGGCCAGTTCAGCCTCACTCCCGGTCCCCAGTATTAGACTCTGCCCTCCGAGGAGGACAGTCACTTCGGGAGGGGGTGGTTGCTCCTCCACAACCCCCCAGCTCCAGTTCCTGACACTAGGCCTAGGTTTTCTTTGTCTTGCTCTCCCAGATAAGGCCCAACACTTGCTCAAAATCAAACCAATCAGCATTCTGGCTCAAAGAGAAGGGCTCCTAAGGCCCCACCCCTAGCTGAAGAATTATTGGCAATTGGCTTCCATGTGAGAAGGAGGTATTTTTCTTCAAGGGCTTGACCTCTGGCAGGTGCCCACGCTACGATGGAGACCTCCACACTCATGCACATGTAGGCAGAACTCACTGCGTTGAGAAAGAGAGAGAAGAAGGAGGAGAAAAAGGAGGAGGGGGAGAGGATAGGGGAAGAAAGAGGAGAGCTGGTGAACTGGCTTGGTGTGTAATGGCACTTGTCACAAAAACCTAGAGACCTGACCCACATAATGCCCCAGACCCACATAATGGTGAAGGAGAAAACCAACCCCACAAAGTTGTGTTATATTCTCCACACAGGCATCACCCAGGCCCACACACTCATGGTGCACACAAACACATGCACACACGCACACACACACACACACACACACACACACACACACACACACACAGTAGCAATAAAGAAATATTTCTAAAGAAGAGATGTGAAGAGGAAAGGGGTGTGTTGGGGACCAGAGTGAGTGGGGGACAGGGATCTGAGGTAGATGAGATCAAGATACTGAATTTATAAACTATTCAAAATATAAAGTAAAAATATTCTAAAATGTCAGGGCTAGCAAGACAGCTCCCACCTGGCAACCTGGGGTCAAGCCCAAGACCTGTATGACACTAGTCGCTGAATCTAGACAGATTTCATCTCCAGATTCTCAGCTAACAGTTTGTTTTATTTTATAATGTCTGCTCCACCAAGCCCAAATATGTTGTCCTATGAGTATTAGTGTCTTCTCTTTAATAAGTAAAACATTGAAAATACCTCATCCCTGAGTCTGGTGTGTACAGGTCCTGTCTATGCTTTTGTATTCTCTCATGATTACCTGTTTGCTATCTAATGCCCTCTATAATTATAATTATATGATACAGTGCGACTATTTAAGACGACAGAAGCGACGGGATTTTATTCTCTCCACTGTGTCTTGCTTGACTGGATGGAATTCTGTAGTGCGGGGCGTGATGAGACAGAAAGCCAGGTCTGTAGCCGGGCTGAATTCAGCTCACCATGCAGATACATCATCGTACCAGCAGGGGGCGATAATGTCTAGTACAAAGAGTGAGCGTGCCTGGGTGAGGAATATCGAGGCACCGCTGGGACTTCCACATCCTAGAAGGTAAGATTAGAAAACATAAGCTTGATCTCGTGTTTCCGTTGCTGAAGCTCCCAAGGCTGGTTAATATTCACTGTGTTTGCTCGCCCCCGCCCCATACTGGGCTGTGGCAGTCTCTTAGCAATCCTGCTAATGAGATAGCAGTTTCAAATTGGCCTAATTCAGATGGCATTTGCCTGTTTGATTCAATTCCCCATGATTCTCTGGGGGCAGTTTCAAGCCCTCATCTTAGGCACTTCAGTTATCACCAAGATGTTTCTGAGGCTGGAGGAAAGAGGAAGCCACGAAGAATCTGTGTACGGATAAAATTATTTTTAAATTACCTATCAGTCCGAAAGACAGGGTTGCGTTTTTCTACAAATATCTGTGGTAGTGTAACTTGTACTTGAACATTTAAGGTAAGAAAACCAGAGTCATTTCCAAAAGTGACAGAAAAGGTCCAGCTCACCCAACCTGCTCATCAACGAAGGGAAATAAATGGTAGGGGATGTCCCTCTCTTCCTCAACAGCACACCCTGCCCTGTCGAGGCTTGACTTTCTCTCAAAGTCATGCCCATATGCCAAATGAAAGTGATTATGTGGATATGTCCCGTGAGCTGAAAGTGAAGCAACGCCCTGAACTAAGGGACAGATCGATTGATGGACGATGACTTCCGGGATGGAAAGGGGCAGAGTTAGGAAAATGTGCTGAACAGATCGCCCTCAGGCACAGCCGCGAGCTGGCACTGGGAATCTTCAAAGAACGGTAAATCCTTTCGGGGGGGGGGGGCTTCTAGAAAGTGTCCCAAATGGTGAAGGCTGAGTCATTGCTCTCCGAAGGCAAGGTAAGTTCTTAGGAGTCCCTGGTGTTAGTATTGCCATTAGCCAGCCAACCTGGCACCTTCCTTCCTCTGAGTTTCTGTGCAAAAACGCCTTATTGGATCTATAGCAAGGATTCAGAGACTCTGAACTCATCCAACAGGGTGGGAGTCGTGCCTGAACAGACTAAGTGAATACATATTTTCTCAGGAAGGCGTGCCACGGGGTAAGTCGAGCACTATGCTAATGTGAATACAGTACTTGGGGGGTATTTTAGACAGAAAAAAAAATCACACTTATAAAGCAGAAAACATGGCACTAAGCAGACCAGAGAAGTTCCTTCATTTACAGCGTGGGAACTAAAAGAAGGCGGAGGATTTGACCTCCTAGCAGCCCGTGTGTGGGGTAAACGCTTTGCCACTCGGTTTATGCACATTTTCTTGGAAAAATTCCCAAGTGCCATTGAGAAGAAGGTTCTAAATAAATCTTGGAAAGCCGTCGGATTTGGAATCCAGAAGTAATACAGATGAAAAATAACTGAACCAAATAGTAAATGCTGGGGCGCACCGTTGTTTGGGAATTAAAGGCAGAAATGGAGTTGCCAAAGGCCAGAGTCAGGTCCTGAGGCCCGGTCTCCTAGCAGGGAGGTATTTCCGGGAGAGTGCAGTGAGTCACGGAGGACAGTCCTGTACCTGCAGCCGAGATGTCTCATGTGCGCTGACATTTTACAAGCTCCTAGGGAAGAAAGCAAAACAAAGTCACTTGCGATATTTTTGTGCTAACATTAGAAACTTCGCGCGAACGAGGGGAACACTGAGTGTGGTGGCGCAAGCAGATCCTCAGCGGCAGCTTGAGTGGGCTGCCCCAAGGTTGGTGATGGCAGCCACCCGGGAAGGGGACCCCACAGATGCCAACCGGAAGACCAGAGATGGCTAGTGACCTCAGTGACTTTCAAAGGTTGGGTCTTAGTGGTTTCTGGGACTTCTGGGGCTTTTGTCTCTGTCCTTGATCCGGCTTCCGGGACTCGCCTCAGGGAAGCCAGGAAGGAGTACACACCCCTGCTGCTGCCCCAGGAACCACCACAGACCATCTGCCAGCCTGATGGTGTCTGAAGAGACAAGGCTGTGACGAGACAAGGTTGGTATCAGTGCTGCTTTGGGTCCGTCCATTTCTGGAACTTGGGGGTTTCTTATTTGAAGCCTAGAGTATGGGGGAATAGCAACATTACGGATTTTAAATCCCCAAATCCTGAGTCTACAAGTGCCACTGACAGACGAGAATGGCTTCTCAGATGGAGTTCCACAGACCTTATGTGAGGGCGATGCAGGAGAAGCTTGAATTGGTAAATTGACGCCATAAAGGATTTGGTAATAAACTCGCTTAGGAAATGTTAAGTTCCACAAAGTACAGTCTAACTAAATGCCTGTGTGATTCGTAGTACCAGAACCAGTCTTGTTAGGAACTGTGGGAATGAAAGTTTTGTGTCATAATTAAAGTTCAGGGTGTTGAGAAGTTTCTGCTAACATTTGTTCACCAAGACTGACCTCCAGTTAAGCTTTATTTCCAGAACAAAAAGAGACAATCCTGATTTACCACCTGCCATTAGGTTTATCCCGTATCAAAGAACACAGCTCTGAGGGGAACAGCTCAAGGGGACGGTGCAGGGTCACAGGCACCATTAAATCCCTGTGCTCTCTTTCATCAGGAAAACCATAATTCCGCCAGGTGGGCAGGAAGACCCTCCACATCGAACAACACTGGTGTGGTTCAGAAAGAATTCTGACAATACCTTTGCTGTGCAAATCTCCCATCTGCCCAAGTGGTTAAACTTGCAGCCTCCTGCCGCAGTTTAAATTGTTCAGGACCAGAAAGAGATTTAAGGATGACAGTGTATGAGGAATGCAGAAGCCTTGGGTCTATACAAGTTAGTAAAACTCTTCTATTTGAGGCCAACTCCTCTTTGGGTATTAGCCAGAGCCTGGCACGAGCTATTAAGTAGAGATATTTTTCTTTATTAATCTTGAAGTACTCAGAATGGTTTTGTGCTGCAAAGGCATATTAATTCTAGCACAAGGAGTACTGGTAGTTGTCTAGGGGTTTGCAGCGTTGGCTTCTCGGCTCAGAAAAAGAAGTGAGCTTCTGGGAAGGATAGAAAAGCCAAACAACCGCAGAAGAGAAAGTGAAAGTTTTATCCCTCCAGGATGTGAGAGACCTGAGGCTGGAAGTCCACTAAGAGGATGCTGGCTTGGGTATTCTGTAAGACCCCTGGTCCGCCCCTTTCTCCCAGTGGTCCTGTTTAAAAACTACAGCTGCCCCTCTACCCCACATCCCATTCCCATCCCCCACCCGACTCCCACCCCTGTGCCTTCTTGCCATTTCTTCCCAAATGTCTTCTGGAAACAAAAAGTGACCAGGCCAGGGAGCTAGCTCACTTTTGCTTCCTTGTCACCTATGTCCCTGCAGCCCTCCCTCACTTAGATACTGTTATTCTTTTGGTCTGGTCCCTTTAAGGGGCAAGCCACGCCCACTCCCAGCCACTTCTGACCTCTCCGTTGCCATCTTAACCTTCCTTCTGTTCCCCCACTTGGCGCGTGCACACGTGTTTTCCCCTCTCCCTCTCCTTTTCTATTTCTGCCTTTCTTTCTCTCCCTCTTCTTTAAGTAATAAATGTTCACCTTTATGTTTCGCCTTTCGTCTATTTACTATGTCCTGTAAGTCTTTTATCCGCCACCTGATCACCTGCCCGCCTGACTCTCCCGGCCGCATGGCTGGTAACAGCCTGTCCAGGACGCGCTCCCACCAGCTCTGCTGCTCGCCGTGGGGAATCTGCACTGCTCTAGCAGTCTCTGCCTGAACTAGCGGCTGCGGTCACCCCACATTATTTTTTAAAGAACAAAAGATACATCTTTTCTTCCTTTTTCCAAAATATGGATTGATTGATTGATTGGTTGGTTGATTGATTGATTGATTTTTATGTGTGTGGGTGTTTTGCCTGCCTATATGACTGTGACCCATGTACATGCATACAGTGCCCACAGAAGAGAGTACCGGATCCTTTAGGAGTGGAGTTACAGATGGTTATGAGCCACCATGTGGGTGCTGGGAAAATGAACGAATGTCCTTTGGAAAATCAGTCAGTGCTCTTACCCACTGAGTCATCTCTCCAGCCCATAAGTACCTGTTTTAAATGGCCGTTGGCTACCAATGTGTGTAGGTGTGTGGGTGTGTCTCCTGTGTGTGTGTTTGTCTGTGTGGAGGGAGTCTGTGTTTATATTTGTATTTTTGAAAAGGAAGACATTGAATACTACCAAAAGCCTGACCCCATCTGTATAGTAGGAACAAAGCAAAACAAAACAACACTTTTTTCCAAAGCTTCACACCTATGCACCAGGCTCCGGATACAAGAAATTCAGAACTCCTGGTAGAATCGCCTCAGGTTCTCAACCTCTCCACAGGAGGTCGGATGTATCCAGGCCACAGGAGACCTAACCAGGCTTGGACTTGCCTTTGTCTCCGCTGGAAGCCAAGGTGAAAGACTGACTCCAGTTCTTTTTATGTTCTTTTTATGAGAGATAATGGTAATTGGATACGGTGGATGAAAAGCCAAGAAGAATCATCTTGCCTCAGATTTATGAATGAGTAACCTAATCTGTCTTTTTAATCAACACAAAGTCAAAGAAATACAAGGGTACGCGTTAAAATAAAAAAAGTCCAAGCGGAAGAGTCTCGGAATTGTCTGACCCAAAAAGAGATGGCGCCAGTGACACAGCCACACTCAGGAGAGAGGACAGGTGTGTAACATGCACTGTGTCAGGCCCCCACCCTGCACCAGAACATCAGTCACAAGCTATCTGACGAGCATGCGCCTCTCACAGCCAGAGTCTGTGCTCTGAATGGATGCGAATGTGTACCTAGAATTCAGCAGGGCAGAAATTCAAGTTCAACAACCACATGGAAGAGACCTCCCACCTTGAAGAGGAGCACAGAGTGTTAGATCAGAACTGATGAACGTAGGTGGAAATAAAAAGGTAGTGGAGACTTGCCCTTTACAGGAGCAGAACTGTTTTTAATTAGAACAGTTGAAGATGGAGATCACGCACTGGGGCTTGAAGTTTTATGGCGCAGAAAGGGAACTTAGGGGGAGTACTTTCATCTGCAGGTCTGTTTTCTGCTTTCTCAAGCTCATACATTTTGGTGGGGGTTCTTATCATGTTGGCATCCTCGCCTTGAGTTATCCTGGCATGTTGACTCCTAGTTTAGTGGTTCCCTGACTGCTGATCCTGCAGGGAGTCTCTGTCACCCAAGCTATTAACCCTTCAGGAACAATATTATTTTGTATTGATGAAATTCATTCTTTTTAACAGCCACTTAACAAAGGGCTATCCCAAATGTAAGTTGCAGAAAGTATAGGCAATCTCTGAAATTAATATATGTATAATTTTCCTGCAGTGAGATTTTGCAGCTTTCAATAGATTTTTTTTCTTTTTATTTTAACATGAGAAAAGAGTACAGTTTGATTGACTGTTTTTTGAGACAAGGTCTTGATATCAATCAATTCTTCAGTACTGAACTTACATGGAATTAGACTTCATCTAGTCAAGGCAGACCTACTTATAGAAAAGAGACAGAGTTTGGACCTCACTGCGTACCCAGGAGGTCAAGAACCAAACAAATTAGAGTGTTGATAAGTAGACTCTCAGCATCAACTACAGAGTCCAATGGATGCCTTGACACAAACTCCCATCATCCCCTGAAATTATGTGAACAGGAGCCAAAGAACCTCTTCTTGTCAACAGACGTCCTGTAGACAGTGACTCAAAGAAACAGAGATGATGGGAAAGTGGGCGTCACTTTTTCAGAGAGGGTCAGATTCAGACAGCAATCATTTCTACTTGTATGTCTGCCGTGCTAGAAACCTTCCTCCCAATGCCTCTCCTGGTGTCACCAGATAGAGAAGTGTCGGCACCAAAAGGATTCTAGACATTGTTGGCTCCAGGCCCTTGCCTTACAGGTGTGGAAGAAATCAAATGAACGCTCTCAGAGTTAAGTCAAGGCCGGCCTTGCGCACCAGCACCCTCCTCTCCTGCATCCTTCCACAGCTGTGATTTTTTCTAATGAGCAGGTGGTTCAGCATTTGGCTTTCATTTAGCCCTTCTTAGCGAAGTCAGAGTATCAACTTCTAAAGTGAGTTCTCTGGCGGTTTTGCTCAGACCATTCAGAAATTGTCTGAGCAGGTCAAATTCCCACTTCCTGGGGGACTCTGGCAGGGACATGGGGGCTTGTTTTTAGGAAGGACAGATTCAGGGTTCTAGGTTTTCAGATACTTTCTTCTTAATGTAAATTGCTAAGTCAGCTGTTTACCAATAATGTTCCCTAAAATGTAGCTTTGGCTGAATAATACAATGTTTCAATAAAACCAAACATGTAGCAAGACCAAATCTGGGCCAGTTGAACAGTGGTTCCAATTACAGGTTTTCTTCAGCAGACTGGCACAGGGTGGTTTCCACCTCACTGGGCACCATAAGCAGCGTTTTCCGTGCAAGTCAGGGAGTGTGTGCACCAGGAAAACCCACAGCGTGTGCCAAATGCTACAACTTGCACATTTTAAGTCTGTCTTTCTTTCTTTTTTTCTCTCTTTCTTTCTTCTTCCTTCCTTCCTTTCCTTCTTTCGTTTCTTCCTTTTTTCTTTTCTTTTTCTCCCAATGTAAATAAAACTGCTATCCTCAGTGACACAATTTGCTGGACTAGACACCTTGAACAAGAGAGTATTTTGCCTCAAGAGAGGAGTCTGCAGCCCCTTCCTAGTTAGCCAGAGTTCATTACCCAGGACCCAGATTTGTCCCTGAAAGCTTTATTGGCGTTCATTTATTCATTCAATTTTTCAATAAGAATTTCAATGAATATTTCTTACAGTTAAAACTATTCAAGCTAGGACTGGAGAGAGGACTCAGTCATTAAAGGCTAGGCTCACAACCGAAAGTATAAGAGTGCCTACTGCAACTGTAGAGGACCAGCCTTTATTTCCGAACACCCACTGCGTGCCAGAGTATTAAGTGGGAAACGCTGTTTTAAAGGTCAAATCCCCTTAAGGAATTATTTGACTGGAATTACTAGTCCTTCCTTTTTTTTTTTAAACCAGATTCCTCTGGTGGGAGACGAGCCACAGCACAAGGCTACACACTCCAGACTGTCTTGACTTAAGCTACAGAAGCCACCAACTCACCAAAATCTGGGGAAAGTAGCCCAAAGCACCGTGGAGCCAATTAAAGCCACACCCTCCCGACCCACACTCCAACTCCAAACCCAACCCCCTGTAGACATATCTCTTCTCATCAACTAACCAAGTCACACCCTGTCGGAAGCTTTCACTAAGTTACCGTGTGCAACCACAGAATTGAAAGAAACGCCGGAAGCTGTCCTTCTCTGAACAGGTGTGGAATGTTCTCAGTGTGAAGGCAAGGGTGGCCTTCCACGTCATGGCTTCCTCCCCAGCATTCTTCTACAGTTGTGTTCTTAATTCTTAGGAGTTGCTCCTTTCTGCTTTGTGATGTCTTCTTTAATTAGCAAATGTTTAGGTGTTTGGCTTTCATTTCATCTCATAGTTAAGTCTTAGTATCCTCTCTCTCTCTCTCTCTCTCTCTCTCTCTCTCTCTCTCTCTCTGTGTGTGTGTGTGTGTGTGTGTGTGTGTGTGTGTGTGTATTGCCTATAGAGGTCAGAGGTCGATGTTCACTGTTGTCTTCAATCAACACTCCTTTTTCTTTTCAGGCAGGGTCTCTCATTGCACTGAAGCTCACTAATTGGCTAGACTGCCTGGCCACCCAGCCATAGGGAACCTTCCTGTCTCTACATCCCAAGGGCGAGAATCATGTAGGTATGATGTCAAGTTCTGCTTCTCACATGACAGCTAGGAACCTGAACTCAGGCCTCCATGCTCCTAAAATCTTGGACAACACACAAACCCTAAACTTATCTTCTACCATAATGAAGAGAGGCTGGAGCAGAGCAGTGCTTTCTTCTGCGAAATGTACAGGCCATTGCTACACTCTTCTCTGTCCTGAGCCTGAACAGTCAAGATGAGTTTTCTATATCTTCTAATAAAAGCAAGATGGATAATGGGAATATCACGCATCATTAATGTCTTTCATTAAATTCTCAAAGCACTTTGTATGAATACCACTGCCACTGCCTGGCAAGGTGGTGCATGTCTGTAAGCCCAGCAAGACAATTCTGATTCAGGGCAGCCTGGGCTACTTAGAAAGACCCTGTCTCCAAAACAAAGATGTTAAAAATCAACCAAGGTCCGATGATAGATAGATAGATAGATAGATAGATAGATAGATAGATAGATAGATAGAT